TTAGTAGTTGCTTGAACTCAAAGTCGGACTGCCACTTTGAAAAGACCGCCGCTATAAGGAGGAATGAGGACCTCAAGCAGAAGCTGAACATATTTTTCTACTTAATACTGTCTTTGTTCAAAGGGACTCGAATTGGCGGTACACCGCTTCTCGGTCTGAACGTGAGTAGACGAAATACTGGGCACCTTGAAGCGAGTGTCTATGGACAGCAAAGCTGGGGTGCTGTTGGGGTACCCACGCGTGACGACTAGTGAGATAACCTACGTCTGGCAAATTAGGTAGCCACGGACCAACAACGTTAGTATTAGCAGGATGCGGAGGACTGCGATTCGACAATGGCACGGTAATACGTCGGGCGCAGACCTTCAATAGATAATTTTGTGGATTGAGTCTCCGTTCAGGGTTGTAGCGGCTAAGCGGTGATGGTGTACGCTCCGTACGCCACAACTTCAGGCCATGTCTCAAGTTGCTAGAAGCAGGACGCCATTTCATCAGGACACTTTATTCTGTACAGAATAGTGAAGGGGAAAGTTGGCAACCGGACGAGGATGCATCCGGCGCCGCGGAGGCGGCGTCCGCGAGACCGACGAGCACTGTGTCGCCGAAGGTCGCCGCTGCAAAAGTGTCGTTGCAGATTGTTTACACTAGTGTTCTGGGCTGTGCCCGCCAATGTACCAATCAGCAAGAGGAAGTGCGTTGATTGGCTCCGAGCCCACGCGAGGGTGGTGATAAGCCCCGCATGGTGCAGGCAGAGAATCGACCAGGTGCGTGGTGCAGACAGTGAATTGCAACGAGACAAATCGAAGTCGGGCAGACGTGCGTGTAATAACAGGCTGTCGCTAGGGCGTAGGTGCAGGCGCTAGCGAGAGGCGCGACGTTGCCATTATGGCTGTCCACTATGGGGTCTAGAACTGAGAATCAGGGGCCACAACTAGCATGAGATCCCCGAACATCCGTGATATGCAAGCTCATAACTCTCGAGTCTCTGCGCATGCTATGGTCCCCACAGTAAGGACTACGTGCAGCGTATCGCATGCTGGAACGGAGGAACTGTTTTCCTACCGGTAATGCAGATAATGACGACATGGGCTCTGTCTGCCTGTCCAAGGCACCTTCGTTTGATCCTGTCTCACGCAGCAGTAAGTTGTTGGCGCTGAAAACGTTGCCGACAACTCTGGTTGATACGATACTTCCATTGTTGCAATTATTCAGGCCAACGTCTTACTTATGCTCTAAGGGCCGGCGTCGCCGAAAGCTACGCCGCTGCGTCCTTGAGATGCAACTGTAGCGCTCTACGTCCTGGAGGTAGATGTGTCTAATAAGCAAATAGACAGAAACAGAGACATCTTACGATTAAATACAGGATGCTTCCATTCGTGCTCCCATGTCTAGCGCCCCCTTTCTGAGGAGACCTGAGATACGAGGATGGAGAAACGTCATGCATCTGTTTAGCGAGTCCTTGACCCCTACATCGTGGGGAACCGTTCTGCGACGTGTGAGACATTTATCGTTCTCAATGCCCTGAGCCGCCTGATCCTTATGCCGCTGGTAGCCTCAAGGTCAGCTAGTCACCTGGTACTCCATGTATGGCCTCACTCAAAGTCAAATCTATTATGCGCCAGTCCGAAAACGCTGGGCCGACCCAGTCCCGCTCGAGGCATGATGTCGACGCCGGCACTGCGAATTGCCCAAACTATATGTTATTCAAAGGTCTTGACCTACAACAAAGTACGACGTCGACCGTCCCTAGGATCCCGCCAATTTCACGCGCCTTTTTCTGTCTGACTTCAACCCCTCCGCCGCGCTAACACAGAAGAACATCGAATCAGCATCTTCTCCGGTAGAAGACGCCTGGACGCATACGATTCGCACTTAAGAATATCTCCCAGTGAGTGTTAGACTGTGGCAGTCCGTGCCTCCTTGCTCGCCGCCACTTTGTCCCGCTGCCCTCCTGCCCGCCTCACAATCCCTGTCGATTTGCTGCTGGGGCCTCGCGAGGCTTGTCACTAGCCTCGCGAGCGCTCGAGGCCAATCAACGCTGCCCCTTCTTTGATTGGCTGGCAAGTCTTAGACCACGATTGGGTGATATCGCCAGAACTGCGGCTTTTTAATTTCCTCACAAATTAATCGCTAACTTGAAGCAGATCAGTCCCAATTAAACCTTTTAGGTTCAAACCGGTAGCATATATGAATACTTAGGTCGGAGTCCATCAGCCAGAGCGATCTAGCCGCGTAATATTCATTAAACAGCCCACAGACAGCCAGCAGTATATGCATAGGTTACATGGTACGCCATAATTGGCAACAAAGGCACTAGCTAAGAGCTTTTTGGAGCAAGGATCGGCCTCCTACATCAAGAGACCACGTGCACGGCAATCAACAGTAGACTAATACTGTCCGAAATACCGAATGTGCTTCCGCCTATGGAGGTACATGCGGGCTCTTTCAGATTTCGCGTATTCCCCTTATCCGTATGCAACAGCACTAGGCAACAAAAGAGGCTACCGTGGTAGGATCAATATAAAACACGACATGACGAGAGAGTGAGCATTTTATTAAGCTTCCAACACCAACAGACACTCCCCTCTCAGTTATCGCCCAGTATGAAAAATTCCTGAGGTCCTAACATGACTCAGACTGCCACTCGCCATTTATCGACGTCATACAATCTGGCAAAAGTTATCGTTTGTCAGAAATCTAGAAATACTGTTCACCAATATTAACAGAGCTCGCCACCTATCTACTTGAAAGCACTTCAGTAGCCACCGGCTCTCTTATGCAAAAGTGCTAGCGTCTGCTCCGTTATTTACTGGCAGGGAATGCTTGAAAATGGCTTGCTTTCCATCTGTCATATCTTTTTAAGCTTTCGCCCACCCAAACAACGAGACAAGCTAAGAAATATATGCGAACAAAGTAAATAGCAAAAATGTACTCAAGTTTCTATAAAAAAAATTATCGGTAAATGCTCTGTTCGTCTTATGGAGGGGGTGGGTAGATGAATACGTGGTCCTTATTTGGCGCTAGGTTTGCATTGCTGTTTCTTTGGCGATCCGTTGGTTTGTTCTGTGCGGCTGCTGGTTGGAAGCAAAAGAGAAAAAAGAGGAGTGGAGGTTTAAGTGGGGCAGAGGGCAGGCGGGATCTGCAAAATACATTCTGTCATGCGTCCTACCGTTTCGCGAAAAAACCTGCGGACACGGAGGGTTTGATCAGGGGTCGGACTTTCTTTCTGTCTCTTCGTGGGCCAGCAAAGAATCCGGTCATCTTCTGGGCGCAATTCCCACCTACCATAGAGCAGACATGGAAGCAATTGTGAGTCTACTTTTTAGGATTTATTGAGTAGTAGTAGTAGTAGTAGTAATAATACTAATAATAATAGTAGTAGCAGTAGTAGTGGTAGTAGTAGTAGTAGTAATACTAATAATACTAGTAGTAGCAGTAGTAGTAGTGGTAGTAGTAGTAGTAGTAGTAGTAGTAGTAGTAGTAGTAGTAGTAGTAGTAGTAGTAGTAGTAGTAGTAGTAGTAGTAGTAGTAGTAGTAGTAGTAGTGTTAACGTTCTCCAAAAGTCAACTGTCCCCTATTTTTCATGTGGGTTAAGGCATTTGCACACTGTAGACATTCTCAAAACTGAGTGATAGGCTGGCTTTTACTTCTGGTGGGGGCATATGGCCTTGGAATTGTGACTTACCAAGCCAGACAGGATTGCATATGTTGAGGACCCTTTGGACAGAACCCCTGTAAATAAAATTATCCCTCTTTCCCACGCCGAAATATATTATTGTGTTTAGATTTTCTTAGACCGCGATTGCAGAATTTCCAGTTAGTCGCCGTATGGCCACCTGCATTAACTGCAGACACCCAGTTCCAAGGCAAAGCGGAGATGTTCACTTCAGTCCTGCAATCACGACATCTTAGGTTCACACCACACCCAAGCGACTATTACCTACTCCCGACCTCAGTCGGCATACCGTGAGTTCGGTACTATGGTGATGAGATCGTTGCTCAAAAGCCAACTGACTCGTGGTGTCAATCTCGGAAGTACAGTCTGCGAGCGCCCGATAACGACAAATGAACCAGGAGTGGAATGGATTTGTCGACAAAGACAAGGGAGACTGGATTGGCCATTTCTGGCATGTTAGCTGTCATCAGTCAGCCCTACTCAACCCTCAGGTGTGGAACACCTGGGGTTCGATCCCGCGATCTGCTGGTTAGAAGTCCAACTGCCTAACAACTGAGCCACGGGTTCGTTGTCCTACCGGTATCGACAGAGTACATTCTGTGGTAGAGGGGCGTTCACCGATCGCGCTACGGAACTCACTCTTCCCGTTACGGCTCCCTCTCGAGCACCGGCAGGAACACGAACCCGTGGCTCTGTAGTTCAGGATGTTACACTTCTAACCAACGGGTCGCGGGATCGAGCCCCAAGTGTTTCACACCTCGGAGTTGGGTATGACTGGCCGACGACAGTTAATAAGCCAGGAATGGCCATTCCACTCTCCCTTGTCATTGTTGGTAATTCTATTCTGTCTATATTACGCTCCACTGCGCGACTGCTGGCGAGACTCGGGAGAGAGCCATAAGACACAACTCGACGAGCGAGTTCCGTTACGCGATCGAACCAGGAGCGGTCATTCCTACAGTGCCTGTCCTTGTCGGTAAATACTTATGAATGGAGGTTGTCTTCCAGCCAGGGCAACAGAATGGTTTCTACTGCGGACTCTCGTAAAGAAAACCATCCTACTTTCCCAGGGTGTCTAGACGCATGGACGTACTTGACGACCACGTTGCTACTATTGACGATAGTGAGCCATCGTCTAGCGAGTGCCAATGCCCCAAGCTGGCCGACATTCAATCAAACCTCTCGCTCTGAACTCGTTTACAGAACACACTGAATTTATGCGCCTCCGGGCGCTTTTGTCGTCGTTTTCTTTTTTGTGTGTGTTAAATCGCAGTTTTGTCTTAACTTTCACGGATTTCGCTCTGTTGGAAAAACTGTTCCATCTGTGCATATGCCTAGAGAAAAAAGGTAGCAAAAGCACACTCTTTCACCAAAATGTTAGTTTGAGACTTCGAATCATACAAGATCTAGCTCACCTGAATTCGCAGTTAGTAGTTCATCAAGGGATACGTTGTCGAATTCATGGTCTTGAGCATCTAGGTATGGATAAAAATAGTGAACTTCAAGTAGCCTTCAATGGTCTGCGCTCTACTTTTGCATCGTTATGCTGAGAGGCGTGCTTTACTGGTAGTCACGACTCTGTAGGCTTCTCCCCATTCGCCATTTCTCGGCATCCGGTAGACTTTCGCAGTCACCTCATCATCGCTATCCCTCGGACTTGCCGGCTTAGCGATTGGCGCAGATAAGCCACTGACGTGTCCGCACACGTCAACCAATCGCGGGCTAGCACTCATCACCTAATCGATCAGTTCACCTCCCGGTGAATATAAACTGGTGCGCTTTCACGGACCCTAAACACTGACTCGAAACACAAGTATTCTCATGCCCTCTGGAATTCAACAAGAGGTCACCTGTGATATGCTGAAAGTACCTATTCCCTTGTCCAACCGAAATTAACTCCCCCGACGTTTCGGATTCTCACTCACCATCAAACATATCCACAGATAAGGCCGATGGGCGCACTATGTCCGTAGATTTTGTCGCATGTTAAAATTAATTAGTGTTTTAATAAACACTGATTTCAGGGTTATTCAAAGTGTGTATACCGTTTTTTGTACACCCTGCACGTACGGCGGCATCAGTTGGAAGCCATAACTGTAAAAAGCACGTTATTAAATGTATTTCTCGTTGCTTTCTCTGGGGAGGTTTTAAAACTTGTTAAGTTTGACGTATTTATGTGTACTTGTACGGAAAGAACGAAAAACTGTAGAAAAGTCAGAATTCTACATACCCATGTAGAAGGCGGCGATTTTGTCAAATTCCATCTGTAGGAAGGCATCGGTAACGCAGTCTCCGGCTGTTAACCAATGTAATTACACTTTTATACAGGCCGTGCTATTGTTTGTGGGTTTTGAATAAGAAACGACAAGTTGATTCATTTAAATGTTCAAATCCAAGTACCTCAAGTGAAAATGCACACGCTAAGCGTGTTTAAATGGTTTTAAACGTAAAAAACGTATGTTTCCCTAGTTCCGCTAGGTTACTGTACGGATTCTCAAAAAGTTGATACAGTAACGCCGATTTTTCACTTCTTCGGTGTGTACGTGTGTGAGTGTGCTGCGTCACAAATTTACGATCTTGAAAGAATGTGATTTTTCAAACTCCTTATTCGAGCCGCCTGCTACGATAACTTCGTGGGCATAAACAGAGACCTGCAGCAAGTGGAACGCTTTTTATAAAGGCTGGCTACGGGTAGCGCTGATTGACAGTTTCATTACCCTCGACGGCAAACTGTTTCTAACCGCACGAATTCCTCCCTTTTCTTGCTTCTTGCCACGGACGGCAAGTAGCTATCAGACTGTAAGGCCTGAGTTACCTAGCAAAATCCTCGGCTTCACGATGGTGTCTGATGTCGGGACCGACCTGTTGCGCCAGTTACCACCACAGACTGAAACTCCTACAAAGTTACTAATATTAAATTAACTTGATTAGCTCCTCGGGTAGTCATACTTACCAGATTCGTCATGCGCACTACGCAAAGTATCCACGTCTCCGATCCATTCTCCAGCGGTCCACTCTCGCGGTCGCCATCGTTGCCGTTTATGCATGCCGCCTCCGGTTTGTCTAACACGCCTGTTAATCACTGCGGGCGCGTGTGTGACTCAGCCTTCGGCTCGTCGGCCAGCGACATCTATCGGTATTTTCGTCTTCATCGATTGGCCACAGCCAGACAATGCTCGGGTGCATGCGCCTCGCGCCGGGACTGACAACTTAAAGCGACTGGCATGCGGCCAGTCAGAACACGGGCTGCCTTAGCCCGCCGAGCCGCGCGCGCGTTCTTTAACCTCACTAAAGACTGTCCAGTGACTACGTCTTCCCTAACTCTTGATTTAGAAAGCCTCAAGTTTTTGACCGTCGCATCTCAATAAATCAGGCAGAAAACAGAATCTTTGCTTGTGTGCATTTTCGACAGCAGAAGATAAATTTCAGTGAGTGTCTTTAGCACAAGGGACACGACCTGTCAAGGTGAACCCGGTGGGACCTCGTAGCTAAGATGGTGAGAGCGTTGACTGTACCAAGACCTTCCCCTTACTGTCGTGGGTTCGAATCCCAACGAGGTCGCCGAGTTTTTCACAGTTGGGTCAAAATGGACGTGGATCTAGGCAGTGATGGCGGAACAAGGTGCACTACAAGCTAACAAGGACATTTTATTCTGGTTGTAAACGTGAGCGCAGTCTAACGCCAACAAATTTCATCATGGCTTCGTAAAATTTCGGAATTATGACCCAGTTAAATAATTGTGAAACAAATGTCTAAGCACTTACACGTCTCCGCGTCCATGAATTGCATCCACTCAGGGTCTTCCATTATGGCACTTCGCACTGATAGGTGAAGGGGGAACGAGGGAGACAATTGGTTGTGCAGAGTAAGAAATAAAACGCAAGGGCATATTTTACAAAACCCTGATATTTGCAGGAAAGTCTGAGGCGTCGAAACAAAGAGGGTTTGTAGAATAGACTAACTTATACGGGATCACACGCACAACGATCTCTTTGTCGTCTCAGTTCAGACAAGCTCCGAAACTGGCGATAAAGACCACGAAGAGATGAAGATCGAGGAAAGATCAGCCAGCGGAAATACATGGACGGAGTGCTGGGTCGATATGGGCCATATGAGCAGTGGCCGTGCACGTCTTCGTTTCCAGACCACTGTGCCACAGCAGCCTTCCACGTCTTGAGGCTTAAGGAATGTGCTGTATAAAGCCCAGTTTTTTAATTCCTGGGGATAAATACTGAGGTTCTTTCATAACTCTGGCGCGAATTGTCCGTCTGCCAGTCAATATTGTGTGGAACTAAATCGGCCTCCAGATGAGCTGGATCGCTGATGCGCCTTACCAAAACCAGGACCAAAGTGGCTCGCTACATGCGCCATTCGAGTTGTGCTGAGCCTGTGTGAGCCCGTACGTCTTGTCATGCATGCGTATGACGCGCATACGACAGCCCAACCGTCCCGAGCGACGGCGTCCACCGTCTCCCACCGTAAGACAGGCTTGTGCAACATCTGCAACACTCTGCTCCCTCATCCACCTTGCTGCGACTGCAGGAAGATGCCAGAACGACTGAAAGTGGGCGCGGGTGCAGTGGTTGGCGGGGATAAACGGCCCCTCTACGCGTACCACACGCGAGTACCTGGCTTCCGTAAGGGCGATTCGAATAGCTCACGCGTGAATTATTCATAAGGGCCACACTAAAGAGCAGCCATCGCAGCTTGACTCACAATTATCCAGTCGTTGCGAAATACCCATCGTTAGGAACGGTTTATCCCGTCAGTGGGCGGCCTCCCAATCCACGACTCTTAGCACGCTGCGATAGCTTCAAGGGCGTAACCTTTATTATGGCGAGGAATTTTCTGATTCGCAATAGGGATATATTCCCCGGAAGCGACCTCTCTCTTTCATCTCTCATGCATTAGTCTACTGGCCGAGCCCGTCAACCAATTGGCGATGGGATCGGACACAATGGCTGACGTGGTTCGCGCGAACTCTGCACTGCTCGGTAGCTGCGTGCCGTAAAGCATTCTGACTCCCCGTTTTGGTCTGTTGCTGACAGCCATTATTGTGATGTCTGGCGCCCTTTTCCAAGGTCGCACCGCCTCAAGGTCATTCGCCCTCGCGGCGAGCGGTTCAGGACGCCTTGGCGTGCTGTCGCTCGACGGACTTCAGCGTCCACACAGTCGCAGCTGCCCAAGGCAAATGCAACCTAAACCACTAGACACACTACCCCTCGGCAAATGCAACACACACACCAATTGAACAACACTTGAACCAGCTCCCCACGAACCTATTAAAACAGCTACCATCAATTCTCTCCCTATCCATCTATCTGTCTACCTACCTCTCTCTCTCTCAACAGTGACCTAACACCGTCAGCACCTGCCTTGGCCTCACTAGCAACCTCTGTCACCGTATGGAATACCCCTCATTATGGTGAATTCTGTCTCCTCCTATAACTCAGAACTTCGCCTGATGATTGTAACGCCCTGAGTGCACTCACCGCCTAGACGCTACAGGCCCAACGCATCTCCAACACAGACCGTTGTAGGGACCTATGGCACACATACTACGGGAAAATCATGCAACGTCAATCCCTGCCCTCAATATCATATCCGGCCGGCCAAAGACTTGGATAGGTTGCTGGCTTATCAGAAGAGAAAGAGAGCGAGTAAGACTAATTCTGAGAACTTCATGTTCATGGCAAATCAATCAATCTGTCACAGTCATAAACCTGGCCACTACCGGTCGCGGCTTTGGGGGTTATCAACCGACAGGGTACGGCCACAATGACTGCTCCTTAGTTCGCCCTCTGACCTACGTGAGCACCGCGGCTCCCTTCGCCTTTTTGGGTCTACTCTGTGTTGAAAGATCGTTTCGCAGTTCCTCACGCTCATCAGTTGATCACCGAACTTTCCTTTAACAAGGGTTTCATTCAGTACAAGCCGAGGTCTGGAAGAGCTTAATCGTCGGCAGCCTAATCGGCGAGGTTTGGTCCTACAGCCCCACTTGATTGATACCACTGCAACAAAGCTGACGAGATTATATCAATCGTGACATGCCAAGAGTCGTGGCTTGCGAGGATGCCAGCTGACAGGACAAATCACTGGGACAGCAAGGACCCCTTCTTGACGTAACCCTTTTGTCACTGCCACACACGTGATGCTCCAGCCACCCCCTACTGTACCCTGATGCCTGCACTGGGCACCAGCTCGTGTGTGGCACGCGTAGACGGGTCCTCCACTTTTGTCGGCTACTGCACCCGCGCCCGCCTCCCGTCGTCTTGACGGGGCCTCGATAATCATTCAGCGTAAACGATGGCCCGGAAAACGGCGAGGTTTGATCCTGCTGCCCCACTTGATCGATACTATACGGTTGGCTACTAAGACAATTTTAGCAGGTGCGATTACGCTGACTTTGCATACATCACGTGTTTTCGCCTTACTTGCCACTTTAACCCGGCGAGTGACTGCACCCGGCGGGGAGTGCTCAGACGCCAGCCTCGTTTACATCAGGTATCAGCTCGCACGCTCTTCCCTGCGCTTGCTTCGAGCCCTGCTTGCGCCCTCGTTATTATCTCAGTCCAGCGAGTGTCATTGTTCGGACGGTGTGAAACTCCGCCGGTTCCACCATAGTGGCCATAATCTGTGAATAAACATGCGCTTCCCGCTGTAGCCTTCCAGTTTTGATTGCGACCTCTTAATCCAGCTAGTGGCTGTGTCGCGGGGAGTCTGCACACGCCATCTTCAGTTACACAAAGCACCAGTTCATACACCTTTCCCTCCTCGTGTTTCGAGCTCTGCTTGCTCTCTCCTTCCCTCCCTAATCCAGCAAATGGTTAAGTTAGGTTTGTTAACTAAAATTGTTTCAGGAAGCGGCAATAATCGGGAGATGACACCCAAATATCCGTTGCCTAGAAATAATACCTACTATATTTGTTTGAGTAAGTTATAGCCTTACATATTTGTCGCTTCTTACGACCTCAGTTTCCTCTGACCTGCAGTGCACATACTGCCTCATTTAGATTATCCTTTCAGTCGAGATGCGACCACTGTAGACCAAGCCATAGCTAAACTACTTACTTTGGGATAACCTAGCTAACCATATGGTACAAATCGAGTAGGATTGCAGGATCAAACCTCGCCGCCTAATCTTCGACGGCGTAGCAAGTACTGTGACAACTGGGTTGCTTACTAAAGCAGGGTTTGACGTTATTTAGAAAGAGAAGTCGGGTCTAATAGCATTTTCAGGTCACCAAGTCTAACCTTTAGGAGTTCGCAACATGAGGAGTGTGTCAGCCTGTAATTAGTACCCACTCACGACACAAACGTAAAGCCTAGTAGTTTTTCTCGGTCATAAACATTTATTAATCCGTAACCTACCTGATCGGTGAGCGCCTACTGTCATAATTTATTAATCCATTTAGGTCTTCGCCTTCCCAACACCTTCTTTCCGCTCCATCCTAATCGTTCTCACAACTTTATCTTGAGCTCAGCCGCCTGTACTCTAGCTTTCCCACGCTTAGGTACCCGTGAGTAGCGTTGTTTTTTGTTGCTCCGGAAGAGCGCTTTTCAGCTGGGAAATTCCATCGACGCCAACGGTCGCGCATGGGGGAAAGGAGTGAAAATGTGAGTAGTTGTGTTCTCATTTGTACAGCCACAGTAATGGATATTTAGGTATCACATCCGCGCCGTACACACACATATATAGGCAGAATGACATTACTGGCAAAGACAAGGGAGAGTGGAATGGCCATTTCTGGCTTATTAGTCGTCGTCAGCCAGTCATACCCAAGCCCGAAGTGTGGAACACCCGAGCCTCGAACTCGCAACCCGTTAGCTAGAAGTCCACGCCTCTAACCATTGCGCCACGAGCCCGTTGCCCTGTCGGTTTTCGATCGGGAATATACAATGGTAGGGGCGCTCACCGATCGTTCATACGGAACTCACTCGTTCCGTTTTGCCTTACGGGCTCTCTCTCGAGCCCAACCAGCAGCCGCACAGCGGCGCATGATATATAGGCAGAATGGTATTACCGACAAAGTCAAGGGAGACTGGAATGGCCATTTCTGGCATATTAGCCGTCGTCAGCTATTCATAACCAACCCCGGAGTGTGGAACACCTGGGGCTCGAACTCGCGACCTGTTAGTTAGAAGTCCAACGCCACTGACCTCGAAAGGTGGGGGTTTTGGTTTAAGCAGAGACTAATGGGCTCACTGGCACAGACAGAGTGGAGAAGCCGGTGCCAGTTTGCGACAAACGTTACAGTTAACGCAAGAAGAGACACTACGAGAGAAGCTGGAATTTTCTCATCGATCGCACTAATAAGACAGAATGGTCAGCTAATCATCAAGAAAGCAATATCGCCGATAAAGTCAAAAGTGCCTGTTATGCCCGTTTCTCATTTGTTTGCCGTAATTGGGCAGTCATGCTCCGGCCCTAGCTTGTGAAGACCCGGGATTGGAACCCGGGCACACTTGATCAGTGAATTATTCGGCACTATTTGAGTTCAGAGACCGCGTTCTCTTGACTGTTTCCGCCTACGAATGGTTACAACGGGGCCTTCGAATCATGGCGAGTAGCCTGTACTCTGTGCTAAGGTCAAGCTAGGGCAGTGAACGCTAATTCCTTTGGATACTCCTGTTTGGGCGTGAGCCCCTAAATCAGCCGGCAGAGTGGGAAGGTCAGTCTCCAAGGGAACTTGGGTCAAACGTCCAGGTTTTTCCAGCCGAAGGCTGTCCCATAAGGGGATACGAAAGATAAATCAGCCAGAGATCTCTGGCGTGTTTTTATGAGCAGTACTTTTAAATATACTGAATCGTCTTCCTCCTGATTACGGATGGGCGAGCAAACGAATAGGATGCTGTTCATCTTTTATTGCCATTATTGGCAGGTTTCTGAGTGGAGTATTCATACCTATTTATGATCCGTAGGCATGTAATGTAATTTAAAGGTACAGTATATGTGCCATCTCGTAAAATCTTAATCGGAACTTTGAAATGTGTCTTCGAATAGAAAAAGACTACTTAATTATGGTCCTTAGACTAACTGTTGCGCAGCCTTATCAGGAGATCTTTCAGTCACTTCAGGGTGCCGGCTCTTGACCAAACTTCCTTTCGGTCGCCTGCAAAAACTGCACTCGGCAAAAAATGGCCACTTAAGTAGTACGAATTTTTCTAATTGATTTTAGATGCACTTACACATTCAAGCGTAGCACACAAAAACATGCACGATGATATTTTCCTTGTGTTCAATTTGTAGCAACTCACGTCTTCTTTAAATTTTTGCTCGAAAAAAGCGTGTCTTTCAGTTTAAAAAAACCCCAATTCCCGAATAATTTTGGACCTGGCCTGCCATTGCACTGGCATTGCAAACTACAAGCTTTAAATCTGTTGCCGACATCCCCCATGGCCACGTCTGACGTCCTTCTTCAAGGTCACGTTGCTTCAAGGTCATTCATCTTCGCAGTGAGCAGTTCTAGATGCGCTGACTTGCGGCCTAACGACCGACCTCAACTCGGGTGCACACGCATCCACAGAGTCACAGCTGCCCATGCGTCACTTAAACACACCATCCCCTGCGAACACAACACAAGCCGCTTGAACACCACCTCTCGAAAAGGCAACACACAGACCAATTGGACACCACTTCAGAATGCCCCACAAACTTCCAAGAGCAGCCGCCACCACTGTCCCAAGGCTCCCAGGCAGGACTAGATGCAGTCAAAACCGGCACCGCCTTTGCCAGCGGTCATTGTCCGCCTGAGAGGACAACTCAGGCTTCTGTGCACAATAAACCCCACCCAATCTGGTGGGCTCTGTCTCCTTAACTATCAGGTTTGACCGGATGATTGGACGGAAGTCTTTTTCGAGCCGGAGCTGTGAGGAAGACAAACGAATGGGATGCGTTCGCCTTCTGTTGTCATTAATACCGTGCTCCCCAAACGGGCCACGTGGTAGATGCGCTGGACAAACACGGGGGTCATATCGGATTCTGGCAGGCGTTATCGGATTTGCGCACCATAATAAATGCCAACATTTCGACGTGCGGCAGACGTCGCGCACACTGGGACCCCTTCCGCCACCCCCCCCCCGCCCACTGTTGTTGCGGTCAAAAATCTGGTTATTTTCTGTGTGGACCAGGGGGTATTGAGTGGAGCGTCAAGGAGCAGGCTCGACTGTGTCATCCACCTGCGCCCTCCCACGCCTCCGGTCTTCTTGACCATGTTTTGACACGGGGCCCAGGTGTGGGGGGGAAGGAGAGAGTGCGGTGGATGCAGCACAAGTCACCGTCCCTGCTCTCAGCTGATGTGGAGCACAAGGTGGACAATGTCGGGAACAACGGTCAAACTGTCGTCACTAACACCGGGTTTCTGCGTGGAGTAATCTTACGAATTCATGATCTGTAAGACTGTAATTTAAGTGGAAGACAAATCAGTGGGGGAACAGAGTCAGCGCTACAGACTGCTGTGCGTTCTTACTGTCGGAAAGTCGCACAGGTCCTGGGAAACCTTCTGACTGGCTCCAAAACCCACCTTCTGTCATCTATATGCAAATCAGTAGGCCAGTCTGCCCCCCCGAAAGAGGAGTTTGGCACTTAATTTTTTGTGTCTGTCTGTGTGTGTGCGTGTTTACGCCCGGTTGACCAGTCGACTGCGCGCACTCAAAAAGTTCAACACATTTCTCGAGACGCACTTGTGATTTCCAGTTTTCGCATTAAACAGACAGGTGCGAGACCCTAGCGCACGGGAAAAGGGATTTTGTGCTGTCTCGGGTCAACGACACTACATGTTTTGCATTTGGGTTTTTTGGTGATTGAGTTTTTTCAGCTTACTCCCCTACTTATCTCTCGTGGTCGACATTCTTGACGACTAAGGTAGGGAGGACTCCAATGGCTATTTCACTGGAGGGATTTACGGATTCGCCTATAAGTAACCGATCGGGGGATGGGAATATCACACCAACCCCCTTCTCCGCCATCCCTTCTCGCAAGCAATGGCTTTTGTTCGACCAGTTTATACCTAAGGCGGTAAGCACTACGCTGTCAGGGGATAGATGGTCTCGGAAGAGACCAGTCGGATATGTTTGCAGTGATGCAACTTCTGGTATCTACACTGAGTGTCCGTCTAGGGCACTCGTGCGCACTCAAATCAACGGCAGATTATCCGCCTGACATTGTAAGGCCTTGTTTGATGCCTCAATCGCGTCTGACCAATTTCTGACACCGAGAGATTCTGTGCGATATCCAGTTTATTACAGCCGTCCAAAGTGACCAATCAATTCCAGGATTTACGTGGACTTGCTCTTGCTATACGCACTCAGACTTCTGTATCAGCGGGCCCGGAAGCGGACTCTGCGTCTTGTTGCAAATGAGCTTGAACAACGCATTCTTTCTTGAACCTGCTTCCCGTCTACTTCTACTCGGTACCTGATGTGAGGGTCTTTGTGGTTGAAATGTGCTCATGACTTCACCTGCCGGGAAATGTCCATCGTGCACCATTTCGAAGAAGTGTTTGCTCTAGAGTTTCGAACGTCAGGGATGATTATATCTGCTTATTCAGAATCAAAGTTGTGGATATATGGACGCAGTCCGGAACTCCCTGAACGACGCATAAACATTCGGCGCCTCCGCTGACAAAAAACCTGTACACTTAAGATGGTGGTACTGTCGGACAGATTTACGGGAAAAGGGAATCTATATGCTATATGGGGATTCTTTCCTGTTAACATATTTGGGGCATATTTGGACACCTGACAGATGAGAACCGCCTTCTGGCTGACGAAAGCTTACAGCTGCAGCCGCTTGGCAGATTTATTTCTGGACTGAAGTGTTAGCATGACTACGTGTGGTTTCCGACTAATCGAAGATACTGTTTATAACAACATTGTCACATGTTCGCTCAGTTATCAGAAAAGTGACTTGGGAGTTCAGTTTGCACCCAAGAATTGAACTTTGTGAAGCCTTTGCCGAAGGGTTCAAACAAGAATTCAACTAGTAGGGGGTTGTACAGGTGGCTTTTTCGGAATAATAACATGCAACATGATCTCGGGCTAGTTCAAAAACCAAGGGGTACTGACTTTCCCGTTAAGTTTTCTCAACCACCTATGTTATGGCCACTCGGTCAGATAGTAATATGAGCATTCACGATGGATTTGTAGTTCTAAATGACTACTGGAGTGTTCAGCTGTTATAGATTTTCCGTGGGAAACGATGTCAGCGCACAATTTGCCACTGGAATGGCATAATAGGTCGTTCCTAAGAGAAAAAGCCTAGAAAATCATGCCTTTCTAGACAAAACCTTGGTTGTTACGGGGTACGAAGCTTCTAAAACTAGACAACATGCAGTCTGAACAAAGGGATTTAAATAGGTTGTTTTGCGGTCGGTATAGAGGACAGCATTTTGTGACGCATAAGGTAAATATAACAACTCCAATGACTTTCCTTCTTCTGACAATTGTCTCAAAACATTTGTCCACGGCAATTTTTCCATAAAAATACTATTTTAAGGTGGCTTTGAGAAAAACAGACAATTCAAACAAACATTAATGTACGGTACCAGCATACGAGGGGAGGGGGGGAATTCCGTGATTATCTACGTTGTACTACATATGTATGTATATATAATGCGTGAACGCTGTGAACCTCCCATGGTGTCCCAGATCTTCTCTGACTGGCAGTCACGTCCAGCAGAACAAAAGCTAATTATCTTTTCGGACGAAAGCTGCAGGTCCGCATCAGCACAGTCAGCCGGGCAGGGGCGTCCAAGCCCAAGCCAATCATTAAAACTGAAGTGCTCTCTCATGAGCACATCTTGAGTGCAGGCTCGCTTTTATTTTCGCCTGGAGAACAAACATGTCAATGCGGGTGTGGACCCTGTACAGAATAAAGCCCTCCCACTGGTCTCCCTCCTTTCCTCTCCATAAAGGGACAGTTGAGGTAATACCCACTACGCGTCACAAACCAGCTTTCAGACGCTAATTGCTTAATCCACTTTTTTGCGCATCGTTTCGTAGGAAAAGTTTCCAATCCACTTGAGCCTACAAGTACATCGAGCTCACTGTTCCAAATAGTACCTCCGGTTCTACACATTTGTACTACCGGACTGCCAAGCAGTAAAAAAATTAATTACCATGTAAGTGAGTTGGTGCTTTGCGCGGAGGAGGCTCTGTGCATCTCAATGAGTCTGTAGCACGTGAGGACACTCGGTTAGAGTAAATGCGCCGAGGATTCTCCTACCAAGTTCACGTCTTTGAACTTGTATACTGCATGCGCCGAACTTAATGGAATTGTGGCAAAAACTACCTGTAATAAACTATAGACCGCAACTGCCTACATAAAGGAAAAGCTGGGTAATATGTGGTTTGGTAGCCCCACCTGATGGACACAATATTGTTAGGGTTGGGGTTAAGGGTTAGGGGCTATGGTTAGAGGTTAGGCTTAGGGGTTAGGGCAACTATTTCTCAACCATTCACAGTCCAACCGCGCATTCCCAATGGCTTTTCTTTTGCATGCAACTACTTGTCCTCGTCGCCTGCGCGTTCCCCGGCCCCACCTGTAAAAACCTCTATTACTACCGGTCCCGTATTAGAGGTGACGGGGGTTTGTTTACTTCAGGTGGGGCTACCAAATCGCATGCGACCGGAGACTGCAGTGAAAGCCGGAAGTGACCGTGTTGGTTTTTTGACTGGGAGTATTCCTATTCGTCTGGAAAAACGATCGAGAATAAATATCTGATTTTAGTGTTACAAGATACCATACTAGATAGTACCTGTTCTATTAGTATGGTGTCTTGTCACACTAAAATATATGCTACTAACTGCCTGTCGGCAGTTAATGAATATTACGCGGTTATCCCGCTATGGCCGATGGAGGTCGGACCAAATTTCGGTCTGCGCCTAAAGACCTTATCAGATCAGATCAGGTTTATTAAGGGAAAGGTAGGCGAGCGCCTTTAAACTCCCTTTTGGTTACAATAACGTCATAAAAAAACAGTGTGTAAGGCAGGTGTGAAAAAAAATTAGGTAAGTAATTACATACAAAAGCATTGGTCACTGGTATAAATTTGTCTGTGAATGCCTTCTATGTCAGAATTGTACAATAACCAGTACGGTACTTAATTTAAACTGATTTACTCCAAGTTAAGGGTTAGTTTCTGAGGAAGTAAAAGCAACAAATCTCTGATTGTCCAATGTTTTTATTGAGTTAAGTCATCCCTAAGAAACTACATGACCTAGGTGGGACTGGAACCCCAGGCAGCAAAGGCAGTGGATGAATGCAACTAGCAGTCTAGCCACCTGAGCTGAAAGATAATCTAATGAATTTTAGATATAATTTTTTTAAAAACTTACTTGCCCTCTCAGCCTACTGTATCATAGTTTGTGAGTTCCCTACTTTGAGGTAGGTTAAACAGGTATACTGACTCGCATATGATTTAAATAAGGGCTCTCGGTCGGGGCCTCCTAGATCAGGTAGTTAAAGCGTTGACTGTACTTAAGACCCTTTGTGCTTTCGAATCCCGCTGGAACTATCAAGTTTTTTATAATAAGGTCAGCTGAATTATTCAAATTTGCCAAAAAAACGCCTACTACAACCTGTGTTATGGCCTTGTCGGAAGCAAGCGCACATAAAAATGACCTTTGATTCTCATTGAGCACTTCGGTAGATTTGGACCAGGTGGCATAATTTGTGGGCAGTATTTATAAACCAGAGTGGGGGGTAAAGATTGCATGACTCAAAGGTTCGTATAAGTGCAAACTTTTAAAAACCCAAAGTACTCACTTGCTTCAAATACCAGCTGTGAAGGCGAGGGGACTTCTCCTAAAATGTACGCAAAAAGGGCTTTATTTGGCATGCTTTCCGTAGGGTACAGTAAAGTTTGCACATCCACAGAAAGTTCACGCGAAGAGTGTTAATTAAGTAGTTACTTAATCCCGAATATAATTTACACCGTTGTCTAGAAACTGGCTTCCTTCAAAGTCAACATGCAACCACGCGAGAAATGACGTGGGATCGCGATGCCTTGTAATACGTTTAGCAATCTCACTTAGGTCATCTTTTTCACTCGAAGGCGTATGGGAAAAGTGCTATTTACTTGTCTGTCTCGCAATCGAGGAAAGGTGAATGAGGGAGAAGAAGGTGCAGCAGTTTGCGCGCCTAAGTCTGCCTCATTATAAACTACCTCCCCAATCCCATCGCCTATTGGTTAACAGGCCTGGACAGTCAACTGGCGCATAGGAGAGGAAAGAGAGATCGATTCTGGGGAATCCATTCCTGTCGCATATTATTACATTCTTCATTGTACTAAAGCTTACGTCCTTGAATCTATTACGACCTGCTCGGAGTCGTGGCTTGGGAGGCTGCCAACTGACGGCATAACCGTTCTTTGCGATGACTATTTCGGAGTGAAAGGATAAGTGAGAGTAAAGCTGCAATGGCTGTTGTTTGGTGTGGTCCTCATGAATAATTCACGCATGTGCTAGTAGAGTCGTCCTTACGGAGGCCTCGCACTTGTAGTGTCAGTCAGGCCGTGTGTGGTACGCGTAGAGGGACCGTTTAGCCCCGCCAACCACTGCGTCCCCGCCCACTTCTATTCGTTCTCACGTCTTCACGCAGTCGCAGCAAAGTGGATGAGGGAGCAGAGTGCTGCAGATGCTGCACAAGCCTGCCTCATATTACAATTATTCACGCAGAAGAACCATCACAGCAGAACCATCGACCCAGCACCCCTTCCATGCATCCCCGCTGGTTGATCCCTATCAGAAGTCTCGGAGCTTGTCTGAACTGAGACGATAAAGAGATGGCTTTGCGCGTGATCCCATGTAAGTTAGTTTATTCCGCAGACATTCGTTGTTGCAGTGCCTAAAACTTTCCTGCGACTTTCAGTTTTTCGCATCTGCGCTTTGCGAAAGATGCCCTCGCATTCTATCCCTTTCTCTACCAAACCAATTCGTCCCCACTTCCCTTCACATGTCAGTGCGGAGTGCCAAAATGGAAGACCCTGAAACGGACGCGGAAACGTGTAAGTGCTTATGCTTTTGTCTCGCAATCATTTAATTGGGTCATAATTCCGAAATTTTACGAAGCTATGATGAAAGTTGGGGGCGTTAGACTGCTCTCAAGTTTACAATCAGAAGAAAATGCCCTTGTCGGCCTGTGGTGCGCGTTGCCCCGCCATCGCTGCTTAGATCCACATCCATTTTGACCCAATTGTGAAAAAATCAGGCGATCTCGTTGGGATTCGAAAGCACGACAGTAGGGGGAAGGCCTTGGTACAGTCAACGCTCTAGCCATCTGATAGCCTTCTTGGCGGCTGTGGCAAGTAACAAGAAAAGGGGGAATTCGTGCAGTTTGAAAGAGTTTGCCGCCTAGGGTAATGAAAATGCCAACCATCGTTACCCGTGGTTAGTCTTTATAGAAAGCGTTCCACTTTCTGCAGGTCTCTGTTTATGCCCACGGATTTATCATGGCAGGCATTTCAACTAGGAAGTTGAAAAATTCATAGATGTTTTGGCAGATTTTGAATAATTCATATTGGCCCAACTGTGAAGAACTCGGCGCCTCGGTGGGATTCGAACCCACACAGTAAGGGGAAGGCTTTAGTACAGCCAACGCTCTAACCACTTGAGCTACGATGCCCTGCCGGACGACTGGAGGACTGAGAGTGGCTTGGCAATGGCTTCTTCCTCTTAACGTGGTCCCCATGAAAACTCCCCTGAACGGGAGGTCCGAATCACCTCCACAGATGCCCGGTACCTTTAGAGTAGAGAGCAGCTCGTACGGGGAATGCGTAGACGAGCTGTTCAACTCTAACAGTCACTGTGTCCGCGCTTCTTTCTGGTCGTCTGGACACTTTTTCCCCACCGGTGTCAGGTGACTGAGAATGAGGGAGTGCGATGGCTGCTGCGCAAGTCACTGCTGTCACTGCCCGCTCCGATTGGGGATGTCGTTTGCGGCGGTCAAACTGCCACTGTTTCACAAACTGATAGGACATAGTGGGAGCAAATTATTGCGTTAAAGGGCTCCTTGGAAGCGATTCGGTTGTCCTTCTTTTTCTTGGACGCATAGAGGAGGTTCCAGGAATAGTTGCTGCTCTAACATACTCATTCGTTCTTTAGGACCTTGAAATTCAAATTGGCCCTGCGGAAGGTTTCAGAGTCAACCCTCGTTCAAGGTGGTTATCGAGGTCGTGGATGATTCATCTAACCTGAGCTGACCTGCTTCATCTTGCGCGGTAAATGGCAATGTGGCGGTTTAAGTAATAAACCTTCGAGAAATCCGTTTCTACCTCAATAATTTCGACATCAACCGCCTATTTGACGATAATTGTGGGGTTAGGCATAGGGTCACGCCTGATATCTGTACCATGCGGAGAATCAGAATCCCCGTCATTGGATGTTATCGCCAGTTCTTAAAGGAAACTACACTTTCCGACCAGTATTAAAACGTATGCACCACGTGTCTCCCATGAGCTTATCTATGGCCGGAATCCAGGGCTTCTTTTAAATGCAGAGTAGAGTTCCCTTAGGAGCTTTGTAGCCATACGTTGACGTTTTTCATACGTACAAGGCCCTAAGTCAGTTATCGATCAGTACGGACTTATTTCGTCTGCATCCATGGAGATGCGAAAACTTGTAACCTGCGGCCGGCGATGCGCCACCTAACAGTTCGACCGTGGTCTCCGACGATTTCCACCGTATGACGGTGACTTGCGCAAGAATTAGTTTATAGTGGTAATAGACTTGCCCATCATCTACCGCACTCTCTCCTTCTCCCCCACCCGAACCTTAATATTAAAATCTTACTTAAGTAACCTTTTCGAATCGAAAACTCATTTCAGTATTTTTGCTAACATTTCGTGAGTTAGCACATCTACTGTATGTTCTGAACTCGTCGGCGTCCAAGACAGCAGCTCGGTGTTAAGTACAGAATAAACCCTTACACCTGGTGCCTTTCATCGTCTGATATTGCTGCTATTGGGGTAGTTGAGGTCGACTCGTTAATAACGGTAGAGGGGGTGCTCAGCGATCGTTCTTACGGAACTTACTCGTTCCATTGTGTCTTACGGGCTCTCTCTCGAGCCCAACCAGCAGCCGCACAGCGGCGCATGATTTAGGCAGAATAGCATTACCAACAAAGACAAGGAAGACTGGGATGGCCATTTCTGGCTTATTAGCCGTCGTCAGCCAGTCACACCCAACCCCGAGGTGTGGAACACCTGGGGCTCGAACTCGCAACCTGTTAGTTGGAAGTCGGGGGACGGCTCTGAATCATTTCCATTACGGCAACTTTCGGGTCTTTATGCGACATCCTTGCATATAACGTCTTTCCTCCCTACTCACTGTTCCTTATGCGTTGGGTTGACAACTATCCGTTGCAAAGAGGCTAGCTTAAAACTCATTAATACGAGCCGACTTACGCAGAGTTTGTAGTCACAACAGTTAGGAAATTTCTGTTGACAGACCATGGGAAATTCGAACGGTCAAAAAATTTGCGTCGCCATTTGGGAACGAACTTTCCAAATCTCACATTCACAACGCGCACTCTACCGCCAGCAAGTAGTGATCGACGTGTCTCCCAGCCGTGCGAGCAATCGATTTTTCGATGTTATTGGCTTGCTCGGGGGGGGGGTAAGAGGTTTTCGACTATTCGCGTGGCTGAGACGCGCGTTGTGCTTGCTTCAGCTCTCGGAAGTACGATGGGGGGATGCGGAGGAGGAGGGATGCGGCGCGGTGCGGTTCTCTTCTGGTCTAACAATGCAAGTTTTCCGAACGCACCAGTTCCCCGTTTCCCGCTACCTCCGATTACAACTGTCTAAATTGTTTATGAATTTTAAAGACAACGGCGATTTGTGATCGCTGTGTTTTAGTGCATCTGTTTGTCCCACATCCTTCATAATCTCGTGGAACGCATCTGGAATCAAACGACCGGGGACGGTGGATTTGTCCGCATTTCTGCAGCCAGTTATGAATGATTACTCAAAATAAATCTATGACAGATTCTTAATTTAACCAGGCTATTTTTAATAAATGCACCTGCTTAAAGTTCTTTAAGGTGGCGTATTTACTTTGATGCAGAGGGACCGTCAAAATGTCGCTCTAAAATGAGAGACAACTTATCTCATCGAGGGCAGTTTTTAAGCTTGCAGATAAAGTTATTTAAAGGCAACCGTTATTTACTGGTGCCCGTAGTTTGGGATACTTAAGGGCCAGCTGATGACTGCTGTGAACTAGCCAGTGAGTCTCAAACGTTTTGTGCGCATATTCCGATGAAAAGGCTTTGCAAAAACTTATGCTGAAAGCCTAAAACCCCTCAACAAGCATCGATTTACATTTTAGAAATTCGATTAACGGTAGAACTGACTTATGTGGTCCTGTGCATAATTCCGGAAGGGAAGAATATTCCCGTGTCCTAACCCCAACAATAACCCTAACATAAAACTGAATCGTTGCCCTGATCTGAACTCTAGCCCTATCCTAAACCTAAACTCTGCAGTTAGCACCAGCCCCTACCTTAACCCTAAACTTGATCCTGGCTTACTTTACCGTTAAGTTTAAATTTAGTCTTAAATCTAATCCTTGACCTAACCTTAACCCTAACCCTGCGTCCACTGGAAGTTGGTTCAACGCCATCTGTATTGCAGGCCGTTCCCAGTCCGGTGACCTGTTGAGAGGATCACATAAGTCAGTACTGACCGACTAGTTAACCCACTCATCAAAGCGCTTTTTGATTAAACTCCAAGACTTCTTGAATAAGTAATATCTTGTGTTCTGAAGAATACACCTGGGTGACGAGCAATTACTACACTTCTGTGCCGTCTTTTTAAAGGCTGACTTTGATGTCATCCTTCGTAGTATGAAGAGACCCTGAGCACTTTCAGATGCATTTGCGAACTAGTTGCAACCTCAACTGAGGGCGCCCCCTCGCCCCCCCCCCCCTTCAAAGTACTAGCAACCTTTTTTAATCTCCACATTCGACCCGAAAGCAATCATAGAAATAGTAATAAGTGAAAAGACCTACGGTTTTTTGACTGCTTCTGTTCCCTGGACTCGTGCAAGTCCGCGCCGCAGAGTTTTCTCTATTTTCTGTCTGCAGCCTCCTCCACTTAAAAGGACTTTAAGCAGAAGCTGGTTGGAGGAAACTATGTGTGTGTGTGTGAATTAAAGGACGCCATCGTGACATGCTGCGAGCTCCGCCCCACATTCGCCTCCCAGTATCATGTGATCGCTTCCCGGATGCAGGGGGGATGCAATTCATTCTGACTTCCGCCCGGAAGGCCTCAGAAAATTTTCTCCCGCGGTGTGGTTTCAACATCAGAACGTTAAATGAGCTGCAACCCAGTAGCAGACCGTTTACTGCTTCCTCATGTTGTTTTTTGTTGCATCGACTACGCTGCGCTGGTGAGTTCACACGCTCGTGGAAAGTGCTCATTCGCGCACTGTAGGTGACCTTGAAATTGTTACCGGTGCAGCCCATGTGTACCAGTCCCCTTCCTTCGATTTATTCCTCTGCGAACAACACTTATTATTCACTGTCCCCATTGGCTGAAATTGCCTTGCCTTCCTGACTAAATGTAAACTTAACAGGGGCGGTTTATTCGAAGTCGGCTATTTTTGACAATTATTTTTTTTGTTTATTTTTAAATTGTCGTGCGCACTTTCTTTGCCAAATGGCAGTGTACAATAAGACTTTCGATAGGTATCTGTTTTCTGTGTCTCCTTGCTTCCCGTCCTATGTGTTGCCCCACTCGTAAAACCCCCTCTACCGCCATTCAACGTATGACACGGTCTACAAGCTAGCTCAAGTTGGCTGGGGTCTTACCCCCTACCGTTGCCAAAACATCAGCTTGTAATAGGGAGCGGCAATGGTTCACTTTCTTCATGATCTGAGTCTCTTAATCTAATCAGGATATCCGTTTTGTGTCTGGATCGAATGTTCGTGGTATGGCGCTAAACACTATCACAAAGCATGTACGCAAATCCTTTAAAGAATCCTCTTAACCTTGGCAGAGGAAACGCAGGTTTGTTATCGAGGTCTACTCCATAACTGGTGTCACAGTGTAAACTAAATATTATTTGCGTTTTTCGAGAAATCACCTCAGAGATGCAAGAGTAAAAACAGAAAACATGCCAGAAAAACAGCATTTGGGGGTTGTCCGGAGGCTTCATTACTACAAAGAAGACTTTCTAAATGATGCTTTAGATAAACAATAATGTTCGAAACAAATTAGCGTTGTACCATAATGGCATGAAGATTACTTCAGTAGTAAGTATCTCCTTCACACAAGAACGGAAAAACCAGCATAAATAAGTGCGAAGGAAGATGTATTTCCAGAAGCTCTACCTAGGAGTATTCACCCTCCACAAAGGTTTCTGCTCGTTCACTTGGACCTGTTTCGTTCCTCCAATAAGGACTGTTGTTTGAAACTGTGCTTTTCTCATACTTTCTGCCTCTAACCATCCTCCCGTTAGTGTTTTAAGATGCGCTTAGTCATCGGCTGTGAACAACTAGTTCTAAACAGCTGAAAGCCACATAGCATCACATTCACTGTCTTGAAAGGTTGCACTGTCCGAAATTTGAAAAATGCCACTTTCTCGAACGAAATAACAGACGCTACCAAGGAAACTGACACAAGAAGACTGCCTTCTCGTCTGCTATTTGCCTAGTTTTCAGGTAAGAACGAACTATCTGCCTTGAACGCATGTAAAATGCGCGGATCAGACATAAAAGGGCTTTGCCACTTAGGCAAGCGGGGTTTGAAAGCCTACTTCTTACTCAGCACCGATACAAGGTCTTAATCTACCGTCATATTGCACACCCCCCCCACTCAGCCCAACACGGAGGTCAGGAAGCGCGGTTAGCTTTGGCCGACTACCGCCAGAAAATACAAAGGACAGAATACTCGCGCGCCGTGGAAGCCGGTCAGACATTTTAGCAGTTCCTCTGTATTTCAGGTCAATTAATTGTGTAGGTGTTAACTAGAAGACTCAAATTGACCCGATCACAGGAGGATGGCTCACAATTATTTATTCGATGTCTAACTTCTCACTGGAACGGGCTTTCGGGAAAGACGTAGACGGTGATCCAGTAGCCTAAGACCCCACAATTTCACGAACTGGTCAATCTACAACTTTGCCATTTAAGCCTCTTCACCAGTCCTACCAACCGGAACTTCGATCTAACCCACGAATAATTTCACATTAGAGTCCCTGAGGATTTCCTAGAAAAAAACAGACTTTAGAACACTTATTACTACCTCATAATGGCCTAGATGCTAGGCTTCAGTTAACCGAAAAAAAAATGGGAATCTTACCGGTGGGTTGCCTATCCTCCTCCCTGGTCCGCTTTTTTCCCCGAAACATCCGGCCTGGTAGACGTCTCACGCATTCGAAAAGCATCCTGATGTGTGCTCGACCTGTCCTCACCCCGGACCTATCTCCACGTGGTACCGCCGGAGCCGATGGTTTCACCTCATTTATCGATTTTTCGGCAGCTGCGCTGGCCGCTCTCCTTGCCATGCGCCGCTCACTTCTGCCGCCGCATTCACGCAAACCGTCGGTTTACATGATCAGGCATTTCACGCAAACCAATCGAAATCGGATAAAGCGGGGCCATTTGTGCATGTGTGCGCAACCGCCAACTTGGCAATAATTTATGCTAATGGCAATCAGAAGGCCTTAGACCTGCAACAGGCTGTCAGTGGAGGATTTGAAGCGTTCGGGAATTTCCTGTTTTATGGCAAGCCTGGATTTGTACTCAGCCCGGGTCCGGTATGAATGTGGAACAGGCTAGGGTTCACTGTTACCGGAATGGTAAAACCAGAGTTCTGTTTATGACCATGCTAGGACGTATTGGAACACATGATTCCATAAATTTGCCCATCAGAATCTCTAAAATCAAAGTTGCCTCAATTTTCCAGAAGCAAAGTGTTTGCTGACACCTTGTCCAACCTGGTACCTGCGGAATAGAAAATCTATCATCAAATCTGCTTAGATAATGCCCGCTAAACGAAGAACTCTTAGAAACATGTGGACATGGTCAATGGCCATTACTGGCATAGAGCATTATAAAAAATCTAAAAAATGGTTATTTAAACCCAGAAGTATTCTGCTTTACCCTGGCAAGCAAACTATGAACATATGTCGCGTGCGAGAAGGGCGAGTAGCGCATAGCAATGGGTAAACTATTAAACTTCATGTTGTTTAAATTAAGCTTCATTGACCAGCAGGGTTGTACTCATCCTGAGGCACCAGTTGCATAACGTTTCCGAACGATTTTTTAACAAGTGAGGCTTCTCTCTTCCACAGACACGCTCGGACACAGCTCAGCACCGTCAGGTCCCCACTGCTGCCTGAGGCAGTAACTCAAGTTTTTGTACGGCATAAATCCCCCGTCCTGGCGCCTTACCTATTCTCCTGTTTATCAGAACTTGGCCTGATAGTTGTGGTACTCGAAGTTCACTCACCACTCAAGCCTCTACAGGTTTTGCCCCACGCCTGCCATTGTCCCCAGTAGACCGATAAATTCAGAAAGGTCACTGGTGTTTGCAGAGATAGAAGAGGTTGAGGTCTAGCCCTATTTACCCCTCCTTATTGTAACTCAGAGGATTCCTTACTATAAGAATTATGAAACGCCGAACCTATTGTAACGCGCAACATTTACGGATGGAAAGACTGTCAATTGACGTGATAGCCAGATTCTGCCTTAGGCTGGGGAGGAGGAGGGGAGGGGGGGGGGTTAGGACGCAATGACTGCTTCATCGTGCAGACCCTTCGATACTCATGCCCATTTGAGATCTGAGACCCACTCAGTGAAGTCCTGTGCGTTCGGAGTCAGGATCACGCCGTGTGTGTGGCACGCGTAAACGGACTTTTTACGCCCATATCGATATACGTATCGATATGCGCGGTCTTCTTGGCCGTGTTCTTTCATCGGAGGACAGGGGACGTGGGGAGAGCGTAGTCTGGCAGATGGTGCATAAGTTTGCTTCAGTGTAAACAAACTTAACCGCTACATCAGATCGAGACAGTGCTGATCCCCATAGCTTGTGATGGGGGCGAAATACCGTTTTCCGGCTGCGCTAACCTAAACCTGCGTCAACGTAAGTGTGCGCAGCTACATATAAGCCACCCCGAACGGTTTCCCTTCACCGCCAACATCTGTGCATGCTCGATCGCTCTCTGTCATCGGGGTGACTGGGATAGCTCAATGTTCGATTTCGACCCCACCGTCCTCCGGCCTGTGTGTTGGTGCGAGACCTGGTTTCCTATCATTGCACGCGAAGTAGTTCATAGTGAGGATGACTTGCGCAACAGCTACCGCGCTCTCCCCTGTTTCGCCCATCGGGCTGCAATGGCAGGGCGAGGCAGCAGCGGCTACCAAAACTAAATAATTCGTCACGCGCAACACTGTCACCAATACGCCTACCAGATTTCTTTGAGGCTAACCCAGATCTCAAATTAATGAGAGTGCCATGAAGACCCCATTAAGAAGGAGTCGTTAAAGCCTGATTTTCAGACCTAAAGTCATTCTAAAAGACCCACCATGACGGCCAAGTTATCCCGTCAGTGGACAACCTTTCAAGTCACGATTCCCAGCGTGTCCGGACAGAGTCGTTTGTGAGGAATGCGCTGATGTCCCGTGGGGATGGGCTCTACAATGTCGACCTCTTAGAAGACGAAGATGCCATCACTGGAGCAAGAAATTTATTGGCCTGACGTTACGGATTCTCGCTCGAACCCATCATCACAGACAGTCGCAGACAAGGGTAATGGTGGTACAAGGAGTGCGGTATTTATAGCACGTGGCTGCCGTAGGACCGTATGCGCGCTGCAATTAACAGTTCTCGCAATCACCGCTGGGGTCGTAATTGATGCGATAGTGGCTTGTCAGTCCGCGTTCGAGTCGTTAATGGCCGCGATTTCGTTATCCGTGCTGGATGCTGGTGAGACGATTGCTCGGCAAATTGGCTCAACGTCACTGGGATTATTGCTCGCCAGCGCCCTCCCCACGTGGCTGATTCCCCTGCCCAGGGAAAATCTCAGCAAAGAATACGGTAACGGGAAGTTATTGCGCTCGCTGATGTATTGCGGGCCTGAGAAGCATGACTCGAGCAGCTCGCGACTCACGTGGTTGTCACCCCTTGCGAGGATTTCAGCCTCTTGAAACTTGAAAATATGGCCGGGTCCCGTCGAATGGGCTGCCACCTGAGAGCTAGCGTCTCCCCGCCTCACTGCTGCTGCATGCCCGGCAATTCGCGTACGGAGTAATTTCCCAGTTTCTCCGACGTAGTTGCTCTGTCCGCAACTGCATCAGATCCGGTAAACGACTCCAGACGTTTCCTGCCGTGGCAGTGGGTCTTTTGACATCATGACTTGGCGGCTAATGGTTGCATCCGGCCTGTGTGAAACCCCAACTCCAAGGGGAGTGAGAAGATGACTGACGGCTTCCGAGACGTTCTTCACGTACGGAAGAGCCCGCCAACATTTGGAGCCGGTTGGATCTGGCCTCTGGTGTCGTCTTCGTATGCGCTTGTTGACAAAGTTGCGCGGGTAACCATTGGTTCTCAGCACCGGTCGAAGATATTGTAATTCAGCAACCTTTTCTTCCACTTCATTGCAGTACGTCTCAACGCGCCGGTATAGCGCCCTTAGGCAACTGCGCTTGTGATTGATCGGGTGGTTACTTTGGCAGACGAGGACATCCAAGAAGGCCAGCTGGTTGTTTTCCTTCTCCTCCTCAATCGTAAATTGAATGTCCGGGAAGACGACGTTGAGATGTTCTTTGAATGTCAGCATCTGATCCCGTTCGATGACGACGAAGGTATCATCCACATACCGAGCCCAGAATTTTGGTCTGTGCTGTCGGAAAACCACAAAAAGTGCAAGAGGTAACACATTATACGTGTGCTGACTGAACCATTGCTATAGCTGATTTCTCCACCTCAAGAAAACATGGTAGATTGTGGCTTATCCGGCCATTTTGATTCAATGCGTTTTGCTTCGACTAAGTGATCGACCCAGTTTTCTGTAGTGCGTAAAAGAGCTAAGACACATGTCGGTTTTTCGCGTGAAGTCGACTACGCAAACGCTGAGAGGGTGCCAAAAATCGTTATTTATAAAAACAAACAAAAATCGTTTTCATCCAAGTGATTAAACATGAAATAATTTACACCAACTGTCATCTCACATCACTATAAGGGTACAGATTGAATAAACAGAAAAGTAATTTAGCTGTTCTTTTGGAGAGCACCATTGTGGGCGCTTTGGCGTGCTCTCGACCAATGTTCCCGCATATAATTAGTTCGTAATAGGAGTTGCACTCTTTTGCCTTCTTGCATAACCGGGCGCACTAATTCAGAAATAACCTTCCTGTCGTCGCTTGCACTTTAGCTCGCGTGCCGTCCTCATCATATTTTCGGCCTGTTCGTGATCCGGGACGTTCTTTTCTGACCCTCCTATTAAGTCCGTTCACACAGTCATCATGTTCGCCTCTACTGGTCACAACTGTCACCCTGCAGGACTGAATTGCATTACTGTCTACTGCGCATCAAATATCAGCGGCAAAAATGTACTGCTAGGTGTTATGGCAGATTTCGAATAACTCATTTTAACCCAACTTTGGAAAACTAAGTGCCTCGTTGGGATTCGAACTCATGGCAGCAAGGGGAAGGCTCTAGCACAGCCAACGCTCTAGCCATCTGAGCTACGAGGCCCCACCGGACGGCTCGAGTTTAATCACATTTGGGTCAAGTTACCCGCCCAACCAACTGCAACGTCTGGTACCACCAAATCTGATATAGTAAGTTGATTGCCCAAGCAGCATTTCCTAAGTAATTCATCTAGAATCCACGAGATGACTACCAGGCTCACGTAATTCATTGAAGTTTTGACAGATTTTGAATAATTCATATTGACCCATTTCATTCATTCATTCGATTCATTTTCACGGTTCGGTCAATATTAATTATTCAGAATCTGCCAAAACATCTACGAATTACGTAAACCTAGTAGTCATCTGGTGGATTCTAGGTGAATTACTGAGGAAATCCTGCTTGGGCAGTCAACTTACTGTATCAGATTTGGTGGATTCCAGACGTTGCAGTAAGTTGGGCGGGTAAACTTGACCCAAATGTGATTAAACTCGCCTCGTCCGATGGGGCCTCGTTGCTCAAGTGGTTATAGCGACTTCCTTCCCTCGCCCCTCTGAATAATCTGCCAACTCTCCCAGAAACAAGACCTCCGGAGTCTTTTAATTCCCATCTTCACGGTTGTGCCGGCGGAGGGGCGTCAATAGAAAGAAGAAATATAGTCTGACTGCCTTTCAAAAATCCTGTTGGAGGATGTGCCGCAGAATCTATCAT